TAATATAATATTTTATAATTAGTGCATTTTTATTTTTATATTTCTCTTTCATTTTAATTTAGCAAATGTTTTAGTAATTTTATAGCGTGTCATTTTTCTTAACATCTATAGTTTTATAGTTTTACATCAAGTTAAAGGAAAATGAGAAATGTTAACTTGGTAACTAGGTGAAATATGATTTTTTTTTATTATTATTATTATCAAGTAAAGACACTTTTTTCATATTTTTAGTTTTAATTATATTTACCCTGCCTACAGTTGAAGAAACACCCACATGTAACTGTATTTTACATGAAAATGAGCCAAATAGTAGTCACATGCGTTATATGTTGCATTAAAGCAGGTGAATGACCAAACTGTTTTTTTGTTTCACTCTTAATGCAAACGGACAGAAAATGAAAGTGCATTAAAAGAATATGCTCAGCATAGTCAGCAGTCAGGTAATGCTCACTGCTCCTAAAATTAATGGAAATGTACGAAGACAAACTCACTGGAGATTCCAGCTAAAACAGAAGTAAATAATAGGAGCAATTCTCAGCTGTGCTATTTTTTTTTTCCCTATCACACCTGCACTCATGCTCGGTGAGGGAAAACATAAGAGAAGGGTTTTATTTTATGTAGGCAACACAGTCTCGCTAGCTCAGTTTCTAGTGGCCAGGCGTAAAGCTTTGATAAATGGACTCCTTCAGGAGCTACAACCTAAAATAAAGCCTCTTCAGCCAGCCTCCGTTCCTGCAGGAGGTACAGCTGACCTACTTACGAGGATAAGCTCTCTTACTCTGGAGGACGAGGAGCCGGAGAGGAAGACAACTCAACCTTGTTATAGAATGTTTAAATGGCTGGGGTTGAGGAGTTTAGTGTGTAACCATGTAGGTTACTTAACCAAAACACCTGTATTTCGTAACATCGCCTACAGGTTATCCGCATTCAGTAGTAGCAGTCACCTGAAATCAAATGTGGCCTTGAAGGTAACTTACTAGATCTACCTTGACATTTACCTGGAATGTGACCCAGCCACCTTCCAGAGTAGTTTGAAAGTGTTTGTTTGTTTTAAATGCAATAAACATTCGCAAAAATGTTATTTGTGCATGTCAAGTGCGGATCAAGAGGGAACCTTGTTGTAAGCGAAGTTATTTCTGGTGCCAGCGTGCGTAGGAAGGGTTGGACATGCTGGCTTCCAATCGATTTGCGGGCTTTTGTGATCACCTCTCTTCAGAGGCTTTCTCTCATCTCGGCTCTAAACAGGGGGGTTGTGGAGGGCTTCTCATTGCCGCATCACCTGCCGAGCCGTGGTTTGTAACCGTTCCCCCTTCAAGGGCCTGAGCTCAAACTCCTGCCTGTGTGGTAATGTTCTCTTGTGTGCAATGGATTCTACTTTAAGGCCTTGAGTTGCAATGTTTAAAAGGTAAAACTGTGTCTGGTGCTGAGTACTTTTAAAGAACTCTGACTGGTTTTATACAGTTTTTGTAGTATGGACTTTTTTTTTATTTTTTAAATGGCATTACATATCCTACTAAGGCCATTGCAATTTCTCATTCTGCAAATAATAACCATGATTGAAATCTTTATTAAAGTAGGCTTGGCAAATTTGCGGATACTTTCACCAAAGAAAACACTGCTAGCATTCAAAAAATATCAAGTGAAACAAAAAAGCAAAACAAAACAAAAAATAGAGCATTTAAAATAAAAACTAAGACATTATTTAGAGAGAGAGAGAGTTTTGTCCTGCAAAAAACTGCTTAATATATTTAAATAAACATACTTTTAAAAAAAATTTAAAAGGCAAAAACAAAAACACAAAGGCAAAAAAGAAAAGCGCAAATCAAACGAAAAGACAAAAACAAAAAAATGCAAAAAGGCAAAAACAAAAACACAAAAACAAAGAGAAAAAAACGCAAATCAAATGAAAAGACAAACAAAAAATGCATCAAACTTAAAAAGAATTTTAAAAAATGAGACTTCATATCACCTTCTGCTTTTTAAAATTTGATTGCTTAATACTGCTTAATGTATTTAAATTAATATATTTTAAATTCAAAACAAAACCAAAAGCGAAAGGCAAACCAAAACACAAAGCAATATCGTTCTAATGCATAAAAACTGTGTTGCTATCACTCCCAAGAACTTGGTTCTGGTTAGAACATGGATGAACCCTTATGTCTCCAATCATCCTTCAATCCCCTGAATTTCGTACGCATAAATAACGATAAAGACAAAAAATGGATGAATGTTAATGAAGTTAATGATGCAAAGAGGTTAATGACTAAGAAGGACATTAACAGCCAGTAACGTCACAGAAAAGTTGATAAACTTATCGAACCTTGTTCGTTCAACTGGCCGAAGTGGACCAGATCAATGCACTGATTCGCAAAATGTTACAAACATGAAGACATTAAAACTGGTGAAGGAGTCCTCTCCGACATTATGATCTACCTGAAAATGATGCTTTGCAAGTCGAAGGGATATTCAATAATCCCTGTGGTAGGGATGCGAACCCTAAGAACGTCTTGCTGAGTCGGCAGATACGACGGGTCTGCGATACGGTCCAAATCGCTTAGATAGCTAGAGACAAGGAGAGATGGAGAGAAAGGAAGAAGAAAGAATCAAGCATGGCAGCAGATCCCTTTAAGAGCCTGAGAGCTTTGGAAAAGCAGTGAGGGAACGCCACTCAGGATCCTGGGATGCAACCCCACAACCTTCTGCTTACTCCGCTGATGATCTCTACAGAGATTTCCCCCAAAACAACACTCTTTAAAAGTTGCGAAGAAACAACAATAGCAAAGGTTGAGCCCCGGGTGGATGTGAGAATGCGATCAGGGAAGGCAGAAATCAGGGAAGGCAGAAGTGCAGTTGCAGCAGCAGGTTAAAGGTCAGGAGACAGCGGCGGCAGTGGGGTGTGCCGTGGGGTTGGCGATACCTGAAGATTATATTCTCCAGGTCAAAGGGATACTCTATGATGCCAGTAGTGGGCACTCGGACCCTCAGCACATCCTGCTGGCTGGGCACGTATCCCGGAGTCGATATACGCTCTAAATCGCTAAGGTAACTGTGGGATGAACCGGTGAGAAACAGAGGCATGTACATGTGTGTATATACACAACTATATAAGTAGACCCACACGGAAACTCAAAAAAAATTTGCGAACTTTTCATATTTTCCAGGCAGTTTTGGAAAAACTGTAGAACGGATATAAATATGGTTTAAAAAAAAGTACATTAAAAGTATAAATATGTAAATATTCAAACCTAAAAACAAACATTTTGACTCATCCTCATTGTTTTAGACCCTATTTTTTCGTGGAACACAAAAGAAAGTTTAGAGAATTTTTACGCTGCTCTTTTTCCCATTGAAACTTGTCGGGACTTGTTCGGTTACAAGCCACAATGCGTCAACATTGAGTCAAACCTGGCACAACGCATTTTCACATGAGTGCAAATGAGATTTAAGGGGATTTTCAGACCTGCACTTCGTTTGCTTTTTCCGAAACAGGGATTAAAATGTTACAATAGGTGTGTTTGACTTTGGCTGCGGCTGGAAGTCACCGAGCGGTGAGGTTTGCCACTTACAGTTGAAGACTTTAAGTCAGACGCTTTCTGGTTCCCAAAGTAATCATTACAATAGGTGTGTTTGACTTTGGCTGCGGCTGGAATTCACCGAGCGGTGAGGTTTGCCACTTACAGTTGAAGACTTTAAGTCAGACGCTTTCTGGTTCCCAAAGTAATCGTGTGGTGTTTGCGTACTTTATTACATATGAAGTGTATTAGATGCAATATTTGACAAATACAGACATTTCAGACGTTTTTTCATTCAATACTTCATGCACTGAATAAAGACTAAAGTTGAAGCCTATATTATCTAAATACCAATAAAGTGGGGTCTAGGGGTGTGCCCGAAACCAAATACTGCATTCTACAGAGCCCCTAAAGGGACATGGTGATGGAAAAAATATGTGATGGGAAGAAAAAATTGTTTCTATGCTTTTGTGTTGCCTCGCAATCACAGTATAATTGCATATAATTACCAAACACAGTATAGTTGGGTAATTATATTGTACATCATTTGAAGCCATCAGGGAGCTATTATCAATATGCGGGCTATTGAAATCGCTTTTGAATGCGCGCTCGCTTTTTACTTTCATATTCTCAATCACATGCACTCTGTGTATAGGGAGCGGCGGTACTGATTTCACAAGACAATATATTTGTCTATGATGCTCAGGAAAACATACATTACCATTTTTTTTCTTTTCACAAAGTCACATGAGCAAAAATATGCGATAAAAGTAGCCCACTATAAGCTTTTATTGTATTCAAACAAAGCAGCGTAAACATTCTTTAAAATTTCTCCTTTTATTTTTGAAAAAAATAAAAAAGTACACAAGTTTGGAACAAGACGAACATATAAAACTTAAATTCTGAGGAAGTTTAGGTAAGAGCATAGATTCCGTGTGGGTGTAATGATAAACTAAATTATGCCATTTTTCACAAAAAGGTGATTTTACTGTATTGCAAAGGCGCATTCACACCAAGGACAATAACTATGACAAACTATAACCATATGAGAATATGGAAGTCCACACCACAGCTATAAAAACACAAAGGAAAACACAGCCAATTATATTTATCCGACTTTCAAGGAGCTTTCACATTTAATGCAGCAGACGACAAAACTGCAGCACGCTTATAATAAACAGAATGTAATTGTCCATTGGTGTGGAGGCTAATATAGTTATTATGTTCTTGGTGTGAACAGGCCATAATACTGCATCTATACATCTATGACTTGTCACAAATATGCTTCTAACTGACCGCAAGAAGAGATGTAGCATTCGACAACTCAATTAAAAGCAATAAAGTTAAAAGGAGCTAATGGCTAATGACAGCACACACACTTACTATTTAGTGGAGTCAGAGAGCTGGTACTCTCGCCTGCGGTCGTAGGCTTCCTGGATGCCTGGATCCGCCCAGAGCATCTTTATTGCACTGACATAGGGCTGGTCGAAGGAGCAAACCTTCTCCACGTCGACCTCTCGCACCAGCAGAGCGTTGTTCTATGGATAAAGACACATTACACAGTAAACAGCCCATTTTACGTCTTAATGGCTGTGTAATACTAATGACTTCCAGCGGGGTTTAGAACCAACTAGGTCACAAGTTGTCGAGTTGAAGTTTAAGGATCTTCTTTAGGAAATATTAACTGATTCTTCAAAACCAAAACATGAGAATAATTAACTGTAACCCTGCATTGAAGAAAGACAGCTGACCATGGTGTGACGGCAATAAAATTTACAAGCGAGGCTTGTAGTGCTTTTTATAGCCATGTTTATGGCCTATCTGGTTTTGATTTGCATCTCGACGTGCACTCTGGGCATCAAAGAGATGATTACAGTGCAGTGACGGCCAGGGATTGTTCAGCGTGCAGCAGTCACCTTGTTGTCTTCGTATTTGAATGGGATCTTGAGGTGCTCGGTGGCACGGACCATGGACTGCATGGAGGTGAAGATGTTCTGGTAGACCAGTTTGGTGAAGCCGCGCTTGTCCTCATCAGTGTAGCCTGTTCCGTGAATGATCCGCATCTGTTTGATGAACGTACTCTTGCCGCTCTCGCCCGTGCCTGAGGATGACAAAACAACAACATTGGAACAGGGTTAGAACATATTTTGACTCCAGTTTCATATCAGCCTCTGGATTTTTGAGAGCACCAAGGATATCAAGGTCTATCTGGAGCTTTTTCGTATTTGGCTCAGTTTGGATCCAGCCTTTGGAAGGTTTTAGACGATGACAACAACAACATTTGCGAAGACTCCGGATGATTCCAACTTTATAAGGATAATAGTTTTGTATGTTGATTCATTCACAAGTTGTAACTGCTGCCTAACACGTTTGTTGTTTGCTTAATGGAATACACAATGTTAACTAACCACATAACATGTCCATATGAAAGTAATATACAGCTATAATACGCTTCTTTAACACACTCAGCTCTGGTTGATAACTGAATACTTATTAATTGTAACATTAAAACAAGTATTTTCTGGTAAGCTGCTTTGAAACAATGTGTTTTGAAAAATGCTATACAATTTTGAAAATAAAATATATTATTAAGATTAAGATTATTAGACGACACTGGTATCATCATTTAATGGGCCAAAATATTAAGAAAAGAACTATGTATAATAATTTATTATATATAAATCCTTACTGTTCTTATGTTGTCAATATTTTGGACACTTTTTCTACACTGAAAATTGATGGTGAAAAATTTTTACTTTGTAATTAATAATCCGTTTTATTTACAACTTTGACAAATAAGTTTTTACAATTTGGGCTGAAAAGCAGCATGCTGTAATCTGTGATAGGTACCAAAATGTGATGCATTTTAACTTGGTTTACAATAACACTATATTGAAATAAATAAAAGTGTAGAAACCTTAAACAGAAAAGCCTTTTCCTTTTCTAAAAAGAGGAGATACAAACTTTTATATGTTCAAGTTCAAGATCTAATCATGCCGTTAACCATGTTAACACAATGTAAATGAATACAGCTGCACTTTAAAACAGAAATCCTATAAAGGAACGTCTCCCTGTGCATTTCTTAGGTCCGGATGACTCAAGCCAGTAAAAATGTTTAAGAACCAACTAGGTCACAAGTTGTCGAGTTGAAGTTTAAGGATCTTCTTTAGGAAATATTAACTGATTCTTCAAAACCAAAACATGAGAATAATTAACTGTAACCCTGCACTGAAGAAAGACAGCTGACCATGGTGTGACGGCAATAAAATTTACAAGCGAGGCTTGTAGTGCTTTTTATAGCCATGTTTATGGCCTATCTGGTTTTGATTTGCATCTCGACGTGCACTCTGGGCATCAAAGAGATGATTACAGTGCAGTGACGGCCAGGGATTGTTCAGCGTGCAGCAGTCACCTTGTTGTCTTCGTATTTGAATGGGATCTTGAGGTGCTCGGTGGCACGGACCATGGACTGCATGGAGGTGAAGATGTTCTGGTAGACCAGTTTGGTGAAGCCGCGCTTGTCCTCATCAGTGTAGCCTGTTCCGTGAATGATCCGCATCTGTTTGATGAACGTACTCTTGCCGCTCTCGCCCGTGCCTGAGGATGACAAAACAACAACATTGGAACAGGGTTAGAACATATTTTGACTCCAGTTTCATATCAGCCTCTGGATTTTTGAGAGCACCAAGGATATCAAGGTCTATCTGGAGCTTTTTCGTATTTGGCTCAGTTTGGATCCAGCCTTTGGAAGGTTTTAGACGACGACAACAACATTTGCGAAGACTCCGGATGATGCCAACTTTATAAGGATAATAGTTTTGTATGTTGATTCATTCACAAGTTGTAACTGCTGCCTAACACGTTTGTTGTTTGCTTAATGGAATACACAATGTTAACTAACCACATAACATGTCCATATGAAAGTAATATACAGCTATAATACGCTTCTTTAACACACTCAGCTCTGGTTGATAACTGAATACTTATTAATTGTAACATTAAAACAAGTATTTTCTGGTAAGCTGCTTTGAAACAATGTGTTTTGAAAAATGCTATACAATTTTGAAAATAAAATATATTATTAAGATTAAGATTATTAGACGACACTGGTATCATCATTTAATGGGCCAAAATATTAAGAAAAGAACTATGTATAATAATTTATTATATATAAATCCTTACTGTTCTTATGTTGTCAATATTTTGGACACTTTTTCTACACTGAAAATTGATGGTGAAAAATTTTTACTTTGTAATTAATAATCCGTTTTATTTACAACTTTGACAAATAAGTTTTTACAATTTGGGCTGAAAAGCAGCATGCTGTAATCTGTGATAGGTACCAAAATGTGATGCATTTTAACTTGGTTTACAATAACACTATATTGAAATAAATAAAAGTGTAGAAACCTTAAACAGAAAAGCCTTTTCCTTTTCTAAAAAGAGGAGATACAAACTTTTATATGTTCAAGTTCAAGATCTAATCATGCCGTTAACCATGTTAACACAATGTAAATGAATACAGCTGCACTTTAAAACAGAAATCCTATAAAGGAACGTCTCCCTGTGCATTTCTTAGGTCCGGATGACTCAAGCCAGTAAAAATGTTTAAGCCATCGCCAAAGTTCAACAATACAACTTCCCTGGAAACTTGGGAGGTCTTGGACCGGCAGGGGGGTGGGGAACAAGTCGAGTAACAGTTCCAGTTTTCAAAATGTTCTGGACAATACAGTGCCAACAGTTAGGAAAGTCATGCTTTGATTGGTATGATAACCAGTCACACAGGTTTTATCTCGGCGTACATATGATTCCAGTATTGACATCCTTGACAACTGCCATTTATTTAAACAAACAAGAGAGACTTAATTCAAAACCATGATCAAAGGCCTATAAATCGTGAATGGCTACATAAGAACCCACCTTTCAGGTAAGGAAACATGGTGTAAGCGTGCATATCAGCAGAATGACCCTTTTTTTTTCTTTTTTGTAATTGAAAATGCCACAATACTGAGTTTCTTTTAGGGCTGTGCGATATGGAAAAAAAAAACTATCGCGATTTCTTTGATCAATTTAGCGATTTCGATTTTAATCACGATTTTGACACACACAGACATGCTTTACAGTCATTAATGCATTCAGTGTGAATTTGAAACATATTTCCAAAAGAAAACCAATTAGAGCTTTATCAAAAAGCTGTAACATGTCTCTAGAACAGACATAAGGCAAAATAATCACTAAGTAAAGGTGTAACAAAATGTCTCTAGAATAGACATATATGGCAGAAGAAAAAAAAAATCCTGTGTCCAGGGATTTTTTTTGCCATGCATTGGTCATAGAGCTCTTCGTGGCGTTGCCT